GAGGGTAGAAGGAAGGTTCACCTTGTGAGTTGGGAAACTATTTGCAAACCTAAGAAGCTAGGGGGGCTTGGACAGAGATCGGCTAGTAGTCTCAACTTGGCTTACATGGTTAAACTGACTTTTCACATTCTTAATAATGATGATGATTTGTGGGTACAGGTTCTACAAGGAAAATATTTTCATCACAGGAATGGAAACATCACGGCAATGAAAACGAGTAATCATTCAAGCCTCCGGAAGGCGATCTTGAAAGCAATGCCTTTCATGCGCAAAGGCTAGTTTGGAGTCTGAGAGATGGTTCTACCACTGGCTTTTGGACACACCCTTGGCTGGACAACGATACCATCCTTGAAGACTTTGTCTTATGTGACCTCTTTCACGAGGAGAGCAGGGAATGTGTGGCGGACTGGATTGGAGATGATGGTGAGTGGAATTGGTAAGATCGTAAATCCTTCCTTCCTAATGAAATCACGGTTCGCATTGCAGGTATGGAGACTCCCAAACCAGGGTAGGGAGAGGACAGAACAATTTGGGGCGCGGAGAAAGACGAGAGACTCAAACTTCGCTCAGCGTATAATCTGGTTGTGGATGAAGAGGAAACTGGCCCTCCTAAAGTGTGGAAGAACCTCTGGAAATGGCAAGGCCCTAACAGGTTCAAGCTCTTTCTCTGGCTCGTGTCACATGATCGACTACTCACCAACGCGGAAATGAAGAAGAGAAAACTTACCATCGACGATAAGTGCAACTTCTACAAGCAAGAAATTGAGACAACGGAACATATTCTGCGGAGTTGCTCTAAGGCAAAAGGGATCTGGACGCAGTTCAGTTCCAAATTCATAGAGAAAAACACCAGCATTGACTTCCAATCTTGGATTAGTAGGAACCTCAATGCTGCTGATGTGGGAGTCGAGTTTGGCATCGTCTCTTGGATCCTTTGGAAACAAAGGAATGACAAAGTCATGGAAGGAAAGAGATACTTTGAGGTAAGCTTAATCTGCAGATCAAACGCTTGGTTTAAGATCTACCAGCAAGCGCAAAGAGTTACTGATTGTTGCCTCAGACCAGTTACCAAACTATCAACGGAACAGGAGCTTGGCTGGAGGCCACCCGAGGAAGGATGGATCCAATTGCAAACTGATGGATACGTCATCAGCTCATCAAATTCTGCTGCTGCTGGGGGGCTCATGAGGGACTAACTAGGAACTGCCTTGACGCTTTCACTTGCAATCTTGGGGAATGTTTGATTACTTGTGCAGAACTCAAGGGAGCTGCTGAAGGCTTCGACAGAGCGTAGATGAAAGGGTTCAGAAATATTTAACTCAATCTGGATTCAATGATGGCGATTAACATCATGAACAATTTGGAAGATGATAGCCATCGTCATGGACTCCTTGTTGCAAAACTCAGAGAGATTATCAGCCGAGACTAGGAGGTTAAAGTTCGCCATGTTTATAGAGAGCAAAACAAGGCTGCTGACTTTTGGCTTCCAAAGGCCACTCTTTACATTTTGGCATACGTCATATCAATGTATGTGATCCTGAACTTAGACAATGGATCATGTATGACACTTTGGCGATCATCACATACCGCTCTATTTTAATGGATTAGGACGTTTTTCGTCCGACTTTCCACCAAAAAAAACATAGGTGCATTTTGTCCTGTTACATTTCATCTAACCCTCTTCTGCAATATAGAAGGGTACGGATATGAAGAACATTTTCAAATGTTAACACATAATTTTGATCTCTGTCGTATGATATTCAATGCGTCCATGGGCTGACCACTTACCCCTAGGGGTGGGCAATGGGCGGGTTGGATGGATTTTGGTCTAAAATTGACCCACCCGCTTAGTAGCGGGTTGGAATATATGTGACCCGCAATCCACCCACATACTTATACGGGTTGGGTTGGGTGGGTGGCGGATGGGTGCGGTTGGGTCGCGGGTTAACCCGCAAAAGCAATTCTCCAACTAACCATTAAGAAAATTGACTAACATTTATAATAAGTTCATAGCACATTAGTAAGATTGTATCAATAATTTGCGATTTCGATACAATTAATAATTTATAGTTTGTATCCCAATATTTAATGGATATTAACAATAATTTGCATACCAATATCCATTTGCACAACACAATAACCAATAATAGTAGTCAAAATTATTCTTTATTCTCCATCTTTTGCAGTATATGGTCAGACTGTAGTGCATTTTGAAAATATAATGAATATTGGATACTATAAGAAACAACATTTTTCCATGTAAAAAATAGAATGCGGGTCATACGGGTGACCCGCAATCCACCCGCCATCCACCCACATAAGTGCGGGTGGGAGATTTAACAATCCGCAATCCACCCATATCAATCACCCATTGCATGCGGGTCGGGTTATTTGCGGGTGGATCGATATCAATCCGCGGATTAACCACCCACATGCCCACCCCTACTTACCCCTGTTCACGAAGGAAGGGAGGAAAATTTGGGGAGGGGAAGGGAATTAGGAGAGGAGGGATACTTTGGAGGTTAAGAAAATTGGAAAGAAAATTTTATTTTATACAGGAAAATGTGTATTCGGAATTGTGATGAATATGCTATTTTATTGTGTATATAATAGTAAAATAATTTGATTATATATTTATAGTATTTATATTAATTACGAATTGTGATAAAATTTGTTCTTCCTTACTAATTTTGTTCAATTATAAATCAAAAGTTGATTAATTGAATGAAATTTGCCAACCTATAACAGAACCTGTCTCTTTTATTCTTATTTGATTTGAATTTTTTCATAAAAAATTGGAAGACCTCTGTTGTACAAGAATGTTAAACCATATTGTGCTGAAACAGTGGTTTAACCATGATTCAACCGTTTCATATGCTAAATATCATCTACCAATTTATTCTACGATGAGGTTTTTTGACCAAATTGCCACTACGATACAATTTTTTTAATCGTTATTTTTTATCATTAAATTAGTGGGCTTCTAAGATCAAATTATAATGCTAATTTCCCTCTCCCTATTAAAATAACCTTAATTCTATTTTAGAAAAAAACCCTTAAGTCCACCCCTTATATTGTGTATAGAAAGATAAAGCCAACCATTCTCCGTCACACACTCTCTCTCTCATCTCTTCACAACAAAAAGAAAAAACAATTACAGATCTAATGCTCTTCTTCTTTCTTTCTGCCTTCGTTACTCCATAACAAAGTCGGTCTCTTTTCCTACCTTCATTCTTCTTCTTTCATCGGTCCTTCACTAACCATCCATTTTTCAAATCGGAAACGAGATCAGTTGAGAAAATGACAGTAGACCCGCTGCCTTCTTTCTCTCCAACCGAGAGAGTCTCAATCCGGAAGATCTTGGCCTGCATGGTTCTTTCCTTTTGTGTTTTTGTTGGTTTAAATCGATATATTTTGTTTTAGGTCCTGATCATGTGGAGGAAACAAGAAAAACAACGGCAGCCTCGTCGCAGACCGACAATGAACTGCGGTAGACCTTATTTGTTCATTTTCTTCTGTTTCTTTGAATTGAATTTTGATTGTTTTTTTTTTTTCAGGTGATTTCAATCATGAGCACTGAATAAATTTTATGCGATAAAGAATAAAGAACGAACGAAGAAATGAAAGAGATAGAGAGATGGGGAGAAATGATGTCGAATTTGGTGGGGAGAGAGATGATGGAGGAAAGAGATAGCAAAATAGAAAAAAAGGACTCGTTTTTTTTCTCTCTTCAATTTGGAGGGGTGGGTTAAACAGTACTCGTCCCCTCCCCTTTTCCTCACCTCGTCACTGTACAACGTTTCGGGAGCGAGGGAAATTGTATTGGAACATGCGCTTGCCCCCTTTTCCTTTCCCTCCTTTTCCATCGCAAAGAAACATAGGGTTAGAGCAGCTGCATCGGCTGTCTCTTCTCCATTTCAAAGTGACATGGCAATGTCATTTGCCATTTCATGGTTGTAGCAACCTATTTCAATAATGAAATATTTCATTAGATGAAAGAGCAAATGAAATTGCAAGTGGGGTAGCAAGCGGGCCCATTTCAATTGGTTAGAGTGTATAATTATTTAGTTATATTGTTTATATGAATCGGGCTCACCATATGAAATTGGAGATAGATTTCATGGATGTAGATGAAATGGATGTTAAAGAATGAAATTGTAAAAAGTGTATAGGTGGCAGTAGGGGCCACAAATGAAATAGGTAGGCTATTTCATGGTTGTTGATGGTCTAGTGAGATTGCTTTAGCATTCTTGGCGCTTTTGTCATGTGAGGGGCATTACTGGTAGAATCTGGTTCAACCTATGTCGATTATAAAACAACCTCAAATATTACTGCTATGATCGGTATCATCGATTTTCAATATTTAAATAAAATGACGTTGGATTGGTGAATTTAATTATATAGATTTGTTTTATTGAATTTGAAAGTTAAATGTTGATGTTATTTGTTGGGTTCAAGTATAAATTTTTGGATGTTGGCATTAAATGTTGTATTTAAATAAGAGCATTTTTATTTTGTTTGAAATAATGTATTTTATTTAAATATAGATGTAGGTTTTTCACTTATCGTTTGGATGCATCATTTTGGTTCTGCAGTATTTCGAATCAAAATGTTGCATTATTTTCCTATGTAGCATTTCATGTGGTATTTCAGTTTGTAATGTGGTAATTGGTCTAATTGTCTTGTTTGTATAAAACATTCGAATATTGTGGTATTTCAACACTTAAATAAGGGACGAAGTCACAAAAGAAATTTTGAGAGATGAGTTATTTGAAATAGGGGTTAATTGCAAGGTTGGTCACTAGGATTACTAAAAATGTTCATGTTTAGTCACTAGAAATATTTAATTCCATTCATAATCACTAGGATTAGTTAAACATTCCAAGTTTGGTCACTCTCCGTTAGTCTCCGTCAGTCTCCATCAACACCGTCAGTTTTTTGCTGGCGTGACTAACAAAAATGTTGAGTCACCAAAATTAATTTTAAAAAAAAGTAAAATCAACCACCACGTCATTATATTGGCAAGACACAACCTGCAAATTAAACCCATCAATTAAACCACCGTAACCCATCAAACCCACGCCATTAAACCACCAACAATGAATAAAAACCCAACCTCTCGTTCTTCTCTAGAAAATCTGGCTCCGACCTAAACCTCTTCCCTGCCCACCACCATCTCACGCCCGACCTAGATCAATGAACCCACCACAATCTCTCTTCAATGGCACATGTAGGAGGAAGATGCATAAATCATTCGCGGCGCTCATCGAGCTGGCATAGCAGCTCCTAGCGTTCATCTTCACCCCACGTCGAATCCAGATCGGACGATGATGCCTACATAGCATATGTAGAGTGGAAGGACGGTGGGTGCTGCAATTCCGACTGCTTGCATTTGAAAATGTGACAAGGGGGAGAGTAGGGAAGACAAAGAGGAGGGAATCACTGATGGTGGTTCGACGCCGTTCGAGGTGGGAAGTTTACAGGCAGCCGATGGATTTGGATCTGACGAATTGGAGGGGAGAGCGAAGCCCAGTTCGTGCTTCCTCACTTTGGTTGAGCGGGAAAGAAGAAGACCTCGCAGGAGAGGTGGCTTTCGCGGCGACGGCTCGAAGAACGAAGGACGTTTGGAGGGGCATGCCTTCTTGATAATCTCCTCGCAGAGATCTGGCGCGTCAATGGCGACAACACCAGCCATCATCTGCTTCTATCATCTGCTTCTTATGCCACTCTAGAACCCCAATTCCAATTCAATATTCCAGTTTAGAATTCCATATTCCAATTTGGAGGCAGAGGAGGAAGCGACAATGAATTTCAATGTCAAGACCAAGCCATCAACGAACGGTATGCTTTTCCCTACGCAACTCAACTCTTTTTTCCTCTAATTTTGCCAGATTTGTTTACTGGTTAGGATTAATGGGTCTCTCTAATCTTGTTTCCACTTCTTGTTCTTTGTGGAAGTTGTTCCTGCTTTTACGGTTGTATTGAAGGCTGCCTGCACTTCCTGCCGCCACCGAAAAGAAGAGGAAGAAGGTGAAGGGTCAGTTCGGATCATTGGTTGGGTTAAGTTGGGTTGGTTTAATGACGTGGTGAGTCGGGTTTCAAATTTTTGGGGTTAATATTGACTGATTTGGCACTTCTGTTAGCCACGTCAGCAAAAAACTGACGGTGTTAACGGAGTGACGGAGACTGAGTGACCAAACTTGGAATGTTTAACTAATCCTAGTGATCATGAATGGAATTAAATATTTTCAGTGACTAAACATGAACTTTTTTAGTAATCCCAGTGACCAACCTTGTAATTAACCCTTTAAAATAGGGTTAATATTTCTATGTGGCGTGAACTTTGACCAAAATAAACATCTTGGCCAATCTTTTCGATATATAACATCCTGACCTGAACTACACATCAAAATAAACAATTTGGCCAGATCTGACTTTTGGACGTTGACTTGGACGGTCAAACGCGTTGACTAACGGTTGGCAGTGACATGGCGGGTTGACCGTTAGTCAACGCGTTTGACCGTCCAAGTTACCGGTCACAAGTTGAATCTGGCCAAATTGTTTATTTTGATGTATAGTTCGGGCCAAGATGTTATAGATCGAAAAGATTGGCCAGGATGTTTATTTTGGTCAAAGTTCAGGCCATACAGAAATATTAACCCTTTGAAATAAGTAGAGTGTGGGTAGGTATTTCAAATAGCTCACAATGACTTATTTCAATTGGATCGTGAGCAAAATACCACATTCCAATTTAATTTTGCCAAACGAGTTATTTCGGATGAAATAATTCATCGAATTACCTCATCCAAATGACCCGTTAGTGTTAATGATTTTCTGCTTCCCTACATGTTTGCTTAAACTTGCACAAACTGGATAAATCGGTTGTGCCATCGGACAGACCTATACCACTTGCCAAACCCGCATGACTGTATAACCGTTTTGACAACCGTGATTTTTAGGATTGTTACGCAGGGTCCTGAGCCTAACCACTTAGTGAGTAGGCAGAACTCATTCTCACAACATTTGTGATGCACTATCTAAACTAGTTATTGTGTTATCACGTCAGTTTTGACGGAAAACATTCAAATATTCTGGTATTTCACCACTTAAATAAGGGATGAAGTGAAGAAAAGAAATTGAGAGATGAGTTATTTGAAATAAGTAGGGGGTGGGTAGGTATTTCAAATAGCTCACAATGACTTATTTCAATTGGATCGTGAGCAAAATACCACATTCCATTTTAATTTTGCCAAACGAGTTATTTCGAATGAAATAATTCATCGAATTACCTCATCCAAATGACCCATTAGTGTTAATGATTTTCTGCTTCCCTACATGTTTTGCTTAAACTTGCACAAACTGGATAAATCGGTTGTGCCACCGGATGGACCTATACCACTTGCCAAACCCGCATGACTGTATAACCGTTTTGACAACCTTGATTTTTAGGATTGTTACGCAGGGTCCAGAGCCTAACCACTTAGTGAGAAGGCAGAATCATTGTCACAACACTTGTAATGCACTATTTGAACTAGTTATTGTGTTATCACGTCAGTTTTGATGGAAAAATATATATAAAAAATTAAACTAAATATTATTCTATTAATTATTACTACCTATAAAAAATATATGATTCTTCAATGAAAAAATATCTACAATTATTTATGACAAATAGATAAAGTTTGGCCCTTATACATTTTAGCACTTCTTACTCCTTAGCGAACTCCAAACTTGAGTTTTAAAAGTGAGAATATAGGTAATGAACCCATTAGCCCTCCAACCACATAAAAAAAGAGAGATTAATGATACGGAGCAGGCCGAGGAGGAGCCATCCGAAGATCCACCCGACAAAATGGACGAGATGGTTCATGGGCCGCGACGATCGCGTCGAGTACCGAAGCCCAATCCGCGGTTCGTGGATTGATGCATGATTGAGTAGCGGTATGTTTTCGTTGTTGTAGGGAAGTTGGTTTCCCATTCCTTTTATGTGTTGGATTGTTATTCCTTTTCCGCAAGTTATTTCGTTGACGTAACTCTATATATTACATTGGTTAGTGATAATAAAGAAGAAGATTGGAACCTTGAATTAGCTTTCTCTTTCGTAGTTTTTAGAAACCCAACTATAATGCATCAATTAGTATTAGAGTCGGGGGGGATAGAACCGAGCTCGAAGTTATTTCGTTGACGTAACTCTATATATTACATTGGTTAGTGATAATAAAGAAGAAGATTGGAACCTTGAATTAGCTTTCTCTTTCGTAGTTTTTAGAAACCCAACTATAATGCATCAATTAGTATTAGAGCCCGGTTCGATAGAACCGAGCTCGAGTCCGCTCCTAGGGAATTCGTCGCCGATCGCGGAACGCACTCGTCACAACATCCATCATGCTACATCGACAATTGGAAAAAACCTCGAGCCACAAAGACGACCATCGAAACCACCCGATGCTGAAGTCTCGCTGTTCGCCCTCACTGGGGTTTCAAACCCAACGACCATCTGCTTGGCCGTCAAGCTGCAGCAAGAGGCATTGGTTGCCTTGGTTGATAGTGGGTCGTCACACAACTTCATCAACACCGACGTCGCTAAGGGCCTAGCCTTGTCGCCAGCACCTATACCGTCGTTACGCGTCAAGGTAGCCAACGGGGACTTCTTGTATTGTGAAAGGTGTTACGAAACGAGGGATCATCCTCGACATTCATGGGGAATGAATAGGGGTGGACCTCTATGAGTTACCAGTCAAGGGTATTGACTTGGTTTTAGGGGTACAGTGGTTAGGACAATTCAGTCCTATCACTATCGACTGGCAACGACTGGCCCTCCGCTTCAAAAACGAAAGGTGCTGGGTTACCCTCGAAGGAATCCACCCGTACACCGTTCGAGATAATCAACCCTATCTGATCCAACCAAGGGAAGTAGCCGTTTGGGCCTTGTGTGTTCCTGAGGCGGTTGGAGTCGTCAAACCAGCCATGCCTAAACGACGCGATTTACTCGACAACTTCAGTGATCTCTTTGAAACGCCCACCAGTTTGTCGCCTGTTCGTCCGGTAGATCATCGTATCAATCTAAAAGAGGGAACCAAGGCAATCAACGTGAGGCCATATCTCTACACTCACTTCCAGAAAGGAGATCAAACGACAGGTTAGTGAGATGCTGAAGTTAGGTCTTATTCGTTGAAGCTCAAGCGCGTCTTCATCTCCGGTTCTGCTAGTTAAGAAGAAAGACGACACTTGGAGGTTCTGCACTGACTATCGAGCTCTGAACAAGGCCACTATTAGGGATCTCTTTCCCATTCCCACGGTGGATGACATGCTCGACAAGCTACATGGATCCAGTACTTATCGAAGCTTGACTTGCGAGTGCGAGAAGAAGACGTACACAAGACGGCTTTTCGAACGCATAGCGGGCACTACGAGTACCTCGTCATGCCGTTCGGCCTATGTAATGCACCCTCGACATTCCAGTTGGAGATGAATGATATTTTTCGACCCATCCTCCGCAAGTATATGCTGGTTTTCTTTGAAGACATCTTGATCTACAGCAAGGACTGGGCGACATACATTATACACCTCAAGGAGGTCATGGACATTCTTCGCCAACACCAGTATTATCTTAAGAGGTCTAAGTGTGTGTTTGGATTGCAACGATTGGAATATTTGGGGCACATTATTTCATCAGAAGGGGTTCACGTCGACAACTCAAAAATTAAAGCCATGGTAGAGTGGCCCACACTGCAGAATGTCACGGAGCTTCGAGGATTTCTTGGGTTAACGGGGTACTACCGAAATTTTTTACAAAACTACATCTCGCTTGCACGACCTCCTAACCAACTTGCTCAAGAAGGGCGGTTTCATGTGGTACGATGAGGCCGCGACAACTTTTGAAGGGCTAAAGCGAGCGATGACTACGACAACGGCGCTAACCATGCCAAACTTTGAGGAGCCTTTTGTTATAGAGGCGGATGCATCGGGAAAGGAAATCAGAGCGGTGTTATCGCTAAACGGACACCCCATTGCGTACATGAGCTACCTCCTGGGACCAAAGAAGGAGTCATGTTCAACATACCAGAAGGAGATGCTCGCGACCTTCATAGAAGTAAGACAATGGAGACCTTACCTTCTCGGCCGAAAATCCATATATTCACCGACCAACAAAGTCTTCGCCATTTGCCGGAACTACAAATTACCACGCCCAATCAACACAAGTAGGTCAAGAAGCTTATGGGGTATGATTTCAAGGTGCATTATAAACTGAGCTTGACTAATAAGGAAGCCGACGGGCTCTCTAGGCGTGCAGGGACTGTATACCTACAAGCCAATTCACGACCAGAGGCCTCACTTTGGGAAGAACTGCGAGAGACAATGGCAACCAATCCTTACCTTAAGGAGATAAATAAGGCAATATCCGACGAACCAGGTGATTATGAGCTCCGGGAAGGGGTGGTTATTTTCAACGGTCGCATTGTCTTGCCTCCTCATTCCTCTTTGGTTACTACGGTCCTCAAAGAGTACCATGATTCCGCAGCAGGAGGGAATTCCAGGGTCTAGCGAACCATAAGGCGACTAAGTAACAACTATTACCGGCCGTAGATGACGTGGGTCATACGTGACCATGTTCGATCTTGTGACATCTGTCAACGAGTTAAGGTGGCAGGGCTTTTACTGGCAGGGTTACTTCAACCATTACCGATTTCGGGACAAGTATGGGAGGAAGTTTCCATGGATTTCGTGGAAGGGTTGCCAATGGTGGCTGGGAATTCGGTTCTGTTCGTTGTGGTGGACCGTTTGACGAAGTACGGTCACTTCATGGACCTCGGCCATCCTTATTCAGCCAAAACCGTTGCCGAGTCTTTCATTGATGGGGGGCATTCGGCACCATGGGATACCAGTTACTATTGTAAGCGATCATGAAAAGGTGTTCTTACGCAATTTTTGGAAGGATATTTTTATGTAGTTCGAGACAAGGTTGCTCATGAGCAGGACCTATCATCCGCAGAATACAGACAAGCGGAAGTAGTCAATTGATGTTTGGAGCAGTACTTGCGATGTTTCACCCAACAACACTCGCGGAGATGGCTCACGTTGCTTCCATGGGCCGAGTTTTGGTACAATTCCACGTACCATCGCACGATAGGAACAACCCCTTTCCAGGCTCTCTATAGTCGTGAACTACCACCGGTCATTCCATATCGCGAGCATGCCAGCCCAGTGATTGGCGTTGATGAGTTATTGCAGGATAGGGGTGCGACCCTGATTAATTTGCGGAAGAATTTAGAGGCAGCCAACTTGAAAGCTAAACAATTGGCCGATGCCAGTCGACGTGACGTATCGTATGAAGAAGGTGAGTGGGTTGTACTATGCATTCACCTGTACCGCCAATTTACTATTTTTCAAGCGTGCATCTCAGAAGCTCGCGGCAAGGTATTTTGGGCCCTATTGAATTCGTGGGCGAGTGGGCGAAGTTGCCTACCGGCTGGAGTTGCCAGAAGGAGCACGGATTCACCCCATTTTCCACGTCTCACTTCTCAAGAAGTATGTGGGTGATCCGGAAGGTGTAACGATTGATGACGGGGAATTTGAGGTTTTACCGTTGGGAGTCTTGGATCATCGTTGGACCCGAGGAAAAGGAGGAGTCATTGAAGAGTGCTTAGTGTAATGGCGTCATCTGCCTCGTGAAGAAGCCACCTGGGAAAGCTACGAAGAGCTGCGTCGTCGATTTCCTGACTTCGACCTTGAAGGCTAGGCCGAGCTTCAAGGGGGGGGGGATTGATGCGGAGCAGGCCGATGAGGAGCCACCCGACGAGATGGACGAGTTGGTTCATGGAAAAAATCTAAAACTACCACTGTTTAAAAAAATTTACAAAAATACCACCCATTTTCAAGAATTTTCAAAAATACCACCCTTCACCATAAACCGCGCCTCGAAGGCGCGGTTCTCAGTCAAACCGCGCGGTGACTCGCTAAAACACAACACCTAACAAAGGCCAAGTGTAACCAATGAAAGGGACTGCAGTATAGTGGCTCAAGTGATAAATATCGAATCCACGGGTCTCTAGAGTTACTATTACTCAGCTTCAGTTTATTATTTAGCAAATCAGATTAAGATGAAAGAACTAAAACTACTCTAGCAAACTACAGTTAAATTTAATCTAATTACAGGTTGGGAACTCACTTAGGTATGATTCCCCCTAGCCACTAGCCAGACTAACGATTGATGATTTCCAACTTGTTTCACTTTCATTCACAATGCGGAGAATCCTTGAGTAGACCTTGAGTCTCGACTAAAGGAACAAGGCCCTCTTGAGTCAATTGCCTAGAGGGACGTATCCTTCTCTAGAACAACTGATCAAGGCGTTCTGAACTAGACTCCCTCTATCGAAAGAGGTTCTCAATCAATACAAAGCAGTGAATCAACCCTCGACTAAAGCAATCGATCCACTACTATCAATCTATGGTGCTCTATTGACCTAATCAGGTATTCCCTCTCATAGGATCAAAGCAGAATCAATAATCTCGACTAAAGCAGAATTGAATCATGAAAACATGCATAGATTGAATATGAACTCAAGATTATCCAGTCAGAGTACTCATACAATCATCCAATCAAACAAACATAGCTAGGGTTCCTCAAAACCTAAGTGAAGGGAAGTTACTCCATAGAGAAGAGAGAGACTGCAGTAAGAATCTTCAGATGATCAGTATTCAAGTCCGGGCTTGTTCCTCGAGCTTCCAAGGTGAAGAAATCCTCCTTCTCTACTCCAAGAATGCCCTCAAATCGCCCTCTCTCTCTAGGGTTCGTCCCTTGGGTGTTTGGAATCCAAAAACCCAGCTCTCCCTCCTCTTTGGTTCGGAATTTGGCTTAAAACCAGGAAATCCCGACTCGCACGGCCAGGGTGCACGGCCGTGCATATCACCATTTTGGCCGTGCAACTCAAAACGCAGCGTGTCATTTAGTCGAACTTCAGCCCTCTCGCACGGCCAGGGTGCACGGCTGTGCGAGCTTCAGGGGTTGCCCGTGCGTGTCCTCGGCATAAGGCGCACGGCCATATTGCTCACGTGCACGGCCGTGCAGCCTCCCTGGTCTGCCCGTGCAGCTCCCAAAAAACCTCGCCATTCGTCCATTCTTCGTCCAATCGACCCCAGACTCGCTCCTAAGCCTTCATTCAC